GCAAAGCCTTCTTTATTGGACTCTAGGCCGTTTTTTTGCGTCTAGAACTTACACGTCGTACCACAATTGCAGCCGAAATTGGTCAGGCTGTGTGGTACACCTGAAACTAGAGTTCAAGTGTCACAAGTTGCGATACAATATGCGACACCAGCTCAGCTTCAGGATTGGACTGCTTTTGAAAGATGTAAGGGTCCTGCTATCAGCCCATCTAGATCTACAGCATTTATTTAGCACCATCGGTTGCAAGAATCCATAGAGACTTCCAATGACGGCAGAAGCAGTACATGACCTAGACTCAAATCAATGTAGATTCTCAGTTCAAAGAAGACCCAGACTCAGTTCGAACATAACCAAGACAAATTTATCATCTGAAGACGAGAACCGCCTGTAGATCACCTCTAAAATGTCCACGAAATCTAGCAAGACTACTCACAGAAAAGTTTACAAGACATCCACAATCTAACGGCATCTTTGTCGGAGGTACTTTGAAAAAAGAAGTGTACAAAGAAAGCAAAAAGGCAATCTCGATATGAGAAAACAGCACAGAACCAAAAAAAAAGCAAAAAGGGAGCAAATGACAAGCAGACATTACATCCATGCCATCACAGTTGACAGAGAGTGATTGAAAAAACAAGAAAAACCAAGTTCAGAGAGGAAAGTGTCAACTATAAATGAATAACTGCAGACCCAAACAATAGAAGGAGCACACCGCAGCGACATTGTTGGAACACAAACAGACCGGATATTTTACAGCCGGATAACCACCAGAATGAAAGAAGAAATTCCAAACCTGCACAATAACAGATCGTAATTTAAAACAGGAAGTATCGTGTAGCCTACAATTTCGGGATCTGAAACAAAAACAGCATCAAAATGAAAAGATAGCAATCAGAAGACGCCACCGCCGGAACAATTTGAGGAAAAGCAAAACCGAGAATCGAGGTGAAAAATAATTGGAACTCTGGAAGCGAAAACTGGTGCCACAATATTGAAAAAACAAAACAATGCGCCAATATCTTCATGCAGATATCCACCATTAACACCAGGTCAATTACCTGCTGGGTGATTTCGAATAATCTCCGCAACTTGCGTCGTGTCTAAATAGTTAAGCTTCAAAAAGCCACAGCAAAAGAATTGCCAGATAAGAGCCTGCAGTAACGTTAGACACAAAGCCAAAAATTATTGATTTCCTAACACCTGGTCGTAAAACACCAGGATTTCAGCAAAAAAAGTTTGAGAACGAAAATCTAGAAAAACACTCACACACACACGCACACACACACACACACACACTCATACATACATACATACATACATACATACATACATACATACATACATACATACATACATACATACATACATACATACATACATACATACATACATACATACATACATACATACATACATACATACATACATACATACATACATACATACATACATACATACATACATACATACATACATACATACATACATACATACATACATACATACATACATACATACATACATACATACATACATACATACATACATACATACATACATACATACATACATACATACATACATACATACATACATACATACATACATACATACATACATACATACATACATACATACATACATACATACATACATACATACATACATACATACATACATACATACATACATACATACATACATACATACATACATACATACATACATACATACATACATACATACATACATACATACATACATACATACATACATACATACATACATACATACATACATACATACATACATACATACATACATACATACATACATACATACATACATACATACATACATACATACATACATACATACATACATACATACATACATACATACATACATACATACATACATACATACATACATACATACATACATACATACATACATACATACATACATACATACATACATACATACATACATACATACATACATACATACATACATACATACATACATACATACATACATACATACATACATACATACATACATACATACATACATACATACATACATACATACATACATACATACATACATACATACATACATACATACATACATACATACATACATACATACATACATACATACATACATACATACATACATACATACATACATACATACATACATACATACATACATACATACATACATACATACATACATACATACATACATACATACATACATACATACATACATACATACATACATACATACATACATACATACATACATACATACATACATACATACATACATACATACATACATACATACATACATACATACATACATACATACATACATACATACATACATACATACATACATACATACATACATACATACATACATACATACATACATACATACATACATACATACATACATACATACATACATACATACATACATACATACATACATACATACATACATACATACATACATACATACATACATACATACATACATACATACATACATACATACATACATACATACATACATACATACATACATACATACATACATACATACATACATACATACATACATACATACATACATACATACATACATACATACATACATACATACATACATACATACATACATACATACATACATACATACATACATACATACATACATACATACATACATACATACATACATACATACATACATACATACATACATACATACATACATACATACATACATACATACATACATACATACATACATACATACATACATACATACATACATACATACATACATACATACATACATACATACATACATACATACATACATACATACATACATACATACATACATACATACATACATACATACATACATACATACATACATACATACATACATACATACATACATACATACATACATACATACATACATACATACATACATACATACATACATACATACATACATACATACATACATACATACATACATACATACATACATACATACATACATACATACATACATACATACATACATACATACATACATACATACATACATACATACATACATACATACATACATACATACATACATACATACATACATACATACATACATACATACATACATACATACATACATACATACATACATACATACATACATACATACATACATACATACATACATACATACATACATACATACATACATACATACATACATACATACATACATACACACACAAACCTACATAACACACACACACAAAACAAAACCACAAACACACAAACACTAGAGAGAGAAGGAGAGAGAGAGAGAGCGAGAGCGAGAGAGAGACTGAAAGTAAGAAAGAAAGAAAGAAAGAAAGAAAGAAAGAAGAAGAAAAGAAGAGCGAGAGGACAGAGAAGAACTGAATGAGCGCAATTTTTTTTAAAAAAACTCTGCCGAATTTTTGGCCCCCAATTTTTCAGTATGCTGATGAATGAACTTGCCCTTTCCAAAATGGACTGAAGATGCCCTACTTTTGAAAAAAGGAGCTGAATTGGATCAATTGGGCAATACGGCAAAATTTAGCAAATTGGGCCCTTAAGTTTTCTAATTCTAATATAAATAAACCAAAACAAAGACTAACGCTGATGATAGGTAGATCAGATGTAGCACATAAATCGATGTGACTCGAGTCCTCAGAGAAACTGTTTTTCTACAATAGGGACTGAATGCAACCATTTTTGGTCCCTGATTCGCTATGGAAGGTGATGAATGAGCCCAATTTGTGGGCCAGTGGGTCCATTTTTCAGCAACAACTAGGTGACCACTCATACTAAACTTGAGTTTTCATATTAATTTTTCGAACCAATTTTTTTCAATGTTTTTTTTTGCGAAGTAACAATATTTGATACGGAATTAATTACTACCACATAAGGATTATATCAATCAAATAAAAATTATACGTACTATGTTATCAACTGAAAAGTTTTGGCACATTGGAGACCTAAATGCATAGTTTCCCGGCTGTTGATTGGTTTTTTCAGTTCAATTATATCGGTTATATTCATTTATAATCTTTATTTTGCCGAAGTTTTGTCACGCCAAATGACAAAATATTTTAATTATATCCCATGGGTATTTTGTTTCTGTCAATATTAAAATCTCTAAATGTGAGATGTCTTGTCACACGTTGGTTATCCGAACGCAAAACTGTACCACGAAACAAAAGTTTCATAGAGATCCTTTCATATTAGAGCGGTAGGTGAAAAATGCATTTTTGAAATAAACCATGAACCTAAAGCAATGTGCTGATATTTTGGTGGTTAAAAAAACTCAAAACGTTCATCATGAAACTACTTTAACGGAAAAGAAATTTAAAAAAGTTATAAATTGAATTGCTTTGAAAACTTTTAAAACAATTTTTTTTTCATTTTTCACATAAACCAACGCCTGAAAAAAGCAGAAAATATAAGCAATCCAGGTTCAAGGTCGAGGACAAAATCGACAAAAAAGGGATTATAATCAATTATAATTTATTATAATGGAGTATAGAAATTTTTTTGTGCAAAACGTTTGAATCTGAAATTGGGATACAAATATTTTATTATAATTGATCCATTCGAATTTTATCGAAAAGTAGATGGATTAATAATCAATTAATACCGATTAAAATCTATTGTGATTGATTATATTTTGATTTCAAAAAGAGAGGTTATAATTGATTATTATTAACTGATTAAAATCAATTTTTTCTCAATTTTAGCAAGACTGGTACTAAAATCATAATACAATCGATCATTAACGCTTGAAGTTAGATGATGATGAGTTTTCTATCTTTCCCATAAACAACACAAACAAACACACACACACGCACACACACACCCTGCTTAGATTTGTTCTATCTTTGCACACTATTCATTGTTTAGGTTGGTCTACTCTATATGTCCGAGGCTGAGAATGTGACGGTGAAGATCATCAAAGCAAGGAATGTGGGGGGCATCTTCAAGACTAGTCAAAAAGAACAATTGAGAATATATTGCAAGGTGTGTTTGGTACCTGGAAAACAGCAGAAACAGCAGACGCAAGATGTCACCGGATCACAGGATCCAGTTTTCAAAGAAGCATTTCTATTCAAAGGTAAACGCCGACACATGGAGGCGATGCTCATGCGCAATTGACCGAATGCGCGAAAATTTTTAACCAATCAACGCTCTTTAAAATGTCCTAAATTCACTAAATTTAGCACTGATTGGCATCGAAAATATGAATAATGAATTCTGATTGGCTGAAAATGTTTACCACATTCGATTCTTGACGCCATTAGCAACACGATGAATTCAAAAAATATAATTATCCTTACGCACACAAAAATCCGGGATGACAAAAATGCTTATCATACAACTCCATTCTATAGAAAAATGTTTATCAGACAATTCCAAACAACTCTTGGAATAAAAAAATGTATAAAAATGGCATGATAAGCATTTTTTCGATACTATAGAATTGTATGACAAACAGCTTTGCGATGTATTTTTTTTCTATTTTTTTGCTTTAGGTTTGTGTCTCTCCCTGAAACACAAAAACCAAAAGTTCTCTCAAATGAGAAAACCAGAAGAATAAACAACGTATGATAAATGCCAAATCAGATAAAGTTAAGATTTCTTCCAAAATTATAACAAAAAATGCAAAAAAAACTGAAACATTTTGAAAAGTTCAGAGGATAAAAATCTTGCTTTTATCTAAAATTGCTTATCAAGTAAAAACCCTACCATCGCTAGAACCTTCATTGTGACCCTTTAATCTTTTATGTAAAAAGATTGTGAGTGGACTGGAACCTGATCTAAACTACATTTTATGATTGGATAAATTAAATGTTTTACCAATGTAAAGTATTTAATATTAACCAATCATGATCCATCTAACTAACAACCCACTTATTTGTAAGTGCTGAAGTTACTTGTAATTTCAGCACCAGAGAGATTTGAATTTAACTTAGAAATTAGTTGGACTCTCCCGAGCACTTCAGCAGCCGCAATAAACCAGTATACCCTAGATCTATTGAGCCTAGCAGAGACTAGTTAAACAACCTGAGACTAGATAGTATAAGAGTAAGATTAGGATCGGTATTAGACTAAGAAGTTGCACGAATCTATCCGGCCGAAAATAAGATAGCGTGACGAGCAGACGGTGTACCCTATCCGAAATTACTCTATGAGTTAACCACATCGATCCTAACTCATCTGGTGCGACCATAAGTCTCGAACAAGACCTTAATAGCTTAGAATTAACCAAAATAGATTAGAAATTAGACAAAAACATTTACAAAATGTTATACGACAATAATTTAATCGAAATGTCTCTACGACTCAATAGATCAGAGCCAATATTCCGAACCATAACAGAACTACCCGGAATTGGAAGAAGACCTCGAACCAGAGACGACATACGACAAAGTAGAAACTTGCCATATAGCTATATGATAGTTCGGCAAAAGCCAGAACAAACTTTTATATTTAGAATACTACTAGCAATGAATTTAGATTTTCATTTGCAAACATAAAACCTTGAAGTTAATCTTCAAAATCATTTCAGGCGCTAAACAAAATTATTAATATACAATAACGATTGATAAAAAGATCTCAGATCGTTTTCCTAAAATTCTGCAGTAATATACAAAACATGTTTGAAAAATATTTATTGAAAAATAAAAAATAAAAATTAGTAGCATGACAATAAATGGTTAGTAATCATAAATTATCCTGTTGTTCCAGCTCCATCATCTAAAACATAACAGCAATCATAAACCCACTAATATCATCAAAACACTAAATTTTTCCTTTACACACATTTAAAATTTTATTAAAACTTAAATTCACTTAATTTTAAAACCAGATCATCAAGGCTTATCCTTGGATCTTAAATCATTTTCTACTTAATTAAATTTCAAATTTGATCATCAAGGCTTATCCTTGGATCAAACAGAACAACTTTGTTCTCCCCCACCCACTTAATTAGTGTCTAACGACCTCAAACGTCGATTAACTACCCAACCCTTTCTAAAGACCTAAGACTAATAGAAATTTTTAAACAAAACTAATCATTCAAATTAGGATAAACAGTGAAGAACTTCGGTTATTCATCCTTCACTTGACCCCCCCTCTTACCAGACCCAGGATAAATCTTAGACTTAGTAAGTTTAAAATAGTATCTAACGAACTACTCGCGTTCTAATTATACCTGAACCTTGTGGATCGATTTACTATTCTCCAACCCTTGAACACAATCACTACCCCTAAGTAAGATTAAGTAAGTTAACACCTTAACTTATACTAGCCACGAGAAAGTAAAAAATCATTCATCGGAATCGATATACTTTTCTCTCCAACCCTGAACAAATAGACCCAGGTTAAGCTAACCAAAAAAACGTAAGAACTAACAGTTTAGGAAAATAGAAATCATTTAACAACCTTTTGCATCCGTCATCCTAAACCTTATGTCATTTAAAAACCTAGGAAATAAACAAACAATCGTTTTACACAATTGTGAAATAGATAACAAAAAATACGACCTTGTAATCACACCTCATACACAAACAGTTGGATACATTCGAACAAAACGACAAACACTAAAAAGAAAAATAATAACGAAACAAAGACAAATAACACGAAAAAGATTTTCAAAAAATCGAAACGCATTTTCAGAATCAGAAACCAACAGTTTAGACGAACTTTACAAACTAAAAGAATCAATAGATAAAAATTACCCACTTCACGATCAATTATATTTTTCTGACTCAGAAACAACTTCAAATTCATCAAAAAGAGGAAAAAGAAGAATAAAAAAGCAATACAAACACAAACCAGTACATTTATACAATTGGAATCAACCAATTCGACACATTAATAATTACATATTAACAGTCATCGAACGAAAAAATGAGCTCAACGCACACTCCAGGTGAAGAAAGTCCAGATGATGATGAAATCTTTCCGTTTATAGTAGACGCAGATACTGATAGAGGACAACACATATTTTGTCAAAATTTACTCGTAAATTTATTTGAACCCGGAATCAGTCCATGTAAAACAGAGTTCCCAGATGTAAAAATCAAAAGACAAATCATAGACCACTACTTAAAAGATATATGCAACATAACACAACAGTATGGAATCTACTCCATAGAATTCACCTCACCAAACCATAATAATAGAAAATATACAATTCAAACAGACGATCTTGATTTAGAATTTTCAAAAGTTTTTTCAGAATATATAAAAAGCATCCAATATCATAACTCACAAAGAGCAAACTCCATATTCACCAATGAAGTTTTCGCAATAATATATAGTTATATTTCGATATTAGAAAACGAAATCCCAATAACAAATGTCTCACCGACAGAAACATCTAAACATTTAAGAGTACGACATGAAATCACACTACTCTCTAGTTATTTAAACATCATTAAAGAAAATTTCACGAAAGACGACGTTTCACAACATACAAAACACGATCTACAAAAAATTTTGGCATGGTTCATAATAGATTATTTTACACACAATATTGATTTAATTGCACAAGCAAGAAAAAATTTTAGACCCCAAAACTCGAACGATGATACCGCTATCACAGAACAATCAGATTATGTTTGGGACCCCGAATGGTCTCATCCCGCATTTATAAGCTTCCCACAATCAATCTCAAGTCAAGCAATAAGTACGATATCTTACATAAGAGATTATGTAAAAGTAATACCATTAACCATTGATGCAACACCATTAAACTATAATACATTTTTGCCCGATACACAAAATAATAGTTTAAACTCTACAGTTATACACAATGAAAACCTCAATGGAACTAGGAATCTTACTCAACAAGATATCCAGACACCATCACACTTCATAAATGAAGAAATTGTACACACAACAACTACACAACAAAGTATTTCACCAATACGCCCAAATTTAACAACACCAAGAAATACAAATCCTTCACAAACACAGGTAAACTTACAATCAACCGTTAAACCTTCGGTTGCCCCTAAATATTCACATATGGATTACCAAGCATACAGACCCATGACAATACCATCAAAAACACGCAAAACATTCACTAGAAACAACTTTGCAGACCATAATTATAATTATACACATCCATCAAAAACATATAACCAACCACAAAGAAATTTTAACCAATATACAAGATCTCGAAATTGGGATAACCCAATGACCCAACCTAATTCAATAAATTTCCAAACAAATCCTCCACAGGATCACAGTGAAAATTACCCATTTTTTCAGCAAAATAAAAATAAAAAACAAACATCTTATCAAATGGATTATTTATCCTCAGATGATGATTTCTTACAACCAGATATATTTGCACAAAATACTCAAGAATATCGTAGACAAGGAATACAGAGAACACGTACGAATCATAGAAATTTTTCTCCACAACCAATAGATGCACAACATCAACAACCAATTCAACAACAAAATCTAATTAATACACAATCTTTTCAACCAAACCAACAACAAAATCCAATGACTGCACACTCGTATCAAGCATCACAAATGCAAAATGAAATACCACTCCCATATTATCTCCAACAACATGAAATAACAAGAAACCAACTTTCGAATTTTTCTCAAATGCCAAATGCAGCAGAATCATTACAAATGACAATGAATCCATACCTTATGGGTGGATCATCAATAACATCAAACAAACCTTTAATGGTTTTCACAGGAACAGACCCTGAATACTCTGTAGAAGATTATTTAAATGCAGTAACAGCAAACCTGATTTTAAATATTGGACCTGAACCAATTAATACGCCACTACATCAAAACTGGATACATCGACGCACAGCGTTAATACAAACAACCTTAGATGGCGCAGCCCAAAAATGGTTTTCAGTACTACCTCTAGAAATAAAATCAAACTGGAAAAGGTTTACACAGGAATTTTCAAAAATGTTTGACTCCGAAAGAAACAAACAACAACAAAGAGTTTTATGTAATGAAATTCGCAGACTACCAAACGAAACCATCAAGCAAATAGCAGTACGAATCGAAACACTAGTTCGAAAAGCATATTCATTAAATACACACGACTATAAAAACACAAAGATG